GAGTGAGGATGTGATGTATGTAACATGTACAGAATACAATACTCAAGGTAGAGGGGAGTGAGGGTGGGATGTATGTAACATGTACAGAATACAATACTCAAGGTAGAGGGGAGTGAGGGTGGGATGTATGTAACATGTACAGGATACAATACACAAGGTAGAGGGGAGTGAGGGTGGGATGTATGTAACATGTACAGGATACAATACACAAGGTAGAGGGGAGTGAGGGTGGGATGTATGTAACATGTACAGGGTACAATACTCAAGGTAGAGGGGAGTGAGGGTGGGATGTATGTAACATGTACAGGGTACAATACTCAAGGTAGAGGGGAGTGAGGGTGGGATGTATGTGACATGTACAGGGTACAATACTGCACAGGGTAGAGGGAATGAGCTGGATTGTATAGTAACATGTACATGATACAATATTCAGGGAGGAAGGAGGAGGTTCAAGAAGGAGGAGGTGTAGGGTTTTGGTGAGCGACGGCGAGGCCGGAGGGGGAGGCAATGAGGAGGAGATGGGGTAAGAAGAGCGCCGCGGGAGTTACTTTACAGTTCGTATGTGCACGGGGTGTAGCTGGGGGAGGAGGGGGAGGGGGAGGGAGGAGGACGGAGGGGGGATGGCAGCGGCGGAGCTGAGGACCGGCGAGTGCACGACGCGAGGCGAGCGAGGATGGGAGGAAGGTAAGAAGCAGGAGTAGTTATCTGCTGCCAGTCCTTCTGTGCACCGGGGTGTGCCTGGGGGAGGAGGCAGGGGAGGAGGGGAGGAGGGAGTGAGGCGAGGAGGGCAGGAGGGAGGACCGGCGAGTGCGAGAGGGAGGACTGGTAAGAACGAGGAGAGTTATCTGTAGCCAGTCGTTGTGCAGGGTTGTAGCTTGGGGAGGAGGGACGCTGCGGCCGTCAGGAGGGACGGGTGGACAGCGGCCGCATGGAATGCACGCACTTGTTAGGGAGGACGACGACGGGACGTATGAAAGGATGGTATGTCTACTTTGATCAGCCAGTCGTTGTTGCAGGCCGCTCTAGCTCGGTGAGAGATGTCGAGGCCCGACGCGCCATGGAGTGCGAGGTACGGCACACCCCGCAGGTCACGCAGCACGTACGCGACTCGCCCGTTAACGACGAGGAGTAGTATTGTAACAGGTCCGTCTTCCGTGGCACAGGGTTGTTAGCTGGGGGAGGGGAAGGAGGACGGAAGGAGGAGGAGGGAGGAGCGGCGATGAGGAGAGTATGGCGTGAGGCCGAGGAGGTAACGAGAGGAGAATAGTTACTTGTAGCAGTCGTTTGTGCCACGGGGGGTTGTGCATATTGGGGAGAAGGAGCGGGGGAGAAGGAAGTGTACAGGGAGAGAGAGGGAGGGAGGAGGGGGCAGAGGGCAGGGGGTAAGAAGAGGAGGTATGTTACTGTAGCAGTCGTGTTGCACGGCGGTTGTGTGGCGGGAGGAGGGAGGGAGGATGGCAGGGAGGATGGAGGACGGGAGCTCGAAGGAGGTGGGAGGCAGGTATGAGGGAGTGAGGGTAGAGAGAAGAGGGGGAGGGAGCGGGAGGTAGGAGAGGAGGGAGGAGGGAGGACCACGGGCGCGAAGGATGGATGGACGGTATGCAGAGGGAGGGAGAGGGAGGAGAGAGGAGGGAGGAGGTAAGAAGAGGAGCGTGTTACTTGTAGCAGTGTTGTCGCCACCGGGCGTGGTGTAGCTGGGGGGAGGGACGGGAGGGGATGCGGGAGGATGGAGGAGGAGGGAGGACGGGAGCGAGGGAGGAGGGAGGTGGGCAGGGAGGGAGGAGGAGGAGGGAGCAGGGATGAGGCAGGATGGAGGAGGAGGAGGTAAGAAGAGGAGGTATTACTGTAGCGTCGTGTGCAGGGGTCTGGATAGCTGGGGGAGGAAGGAGGGAGGCCTTCAGGGAGGAGGGCGCGGAGGGAGGAGGGGTAGAGGAGGGGGGAGGAGCGGAGGAGGTAAAGAGGAGGACCGGTAGTTACTTTGATCAGTCGTTGTACGGGCGGTTTGTTTAGCTGGGGGGAGAGGGGAGGAGGTAGGAAGGAGAGGAGGAGGCGAGCGAGGGAGGGAGGTGGGAGGAGGGAGGAGGGAGGATGAAGGAGGTAAGAAGAGGAGGTAGTTACTTGTAGCAGTCGTTGTGCACGGGGTTGTAGCTTCCCAGAGCGGTCAGCGCGCCCAGCGCGATCGCATACGAGAAGAAGATCTGTGTGCCCGCGTCGATCCACACCTGCGCGGACGCGAAGAAAAAAAAACGAAAAAAAAAGATAATACGGCGCGAGCGTCCTTTCTCGCTCGCACGAGAAACCGGAGAGATCGCGACGCGGCGTTGGTTTCGTTCGCGCGGTCACGCCACGCTGAACAAACGCGCTCACCCCCCCCCGAGGAACGACGTTCCGTTGTTGCTGTAGAGTATTCACCGTGAGGATTAACTCTCTTCCTGACACGTCGTTACAGCCGCATCAGGCCGCCGACAGGTCAAGGTGCGCGTCGAAACGCAAAACACAAGAACGCGTGACGGCAAGTCGACGTGATGGCGGAATCGTGACGTGGCGGTGACCGGCGCGTGCGAGCGAGAGGGGCAGAGGACAGGCGACCGGTTTCACGGTGCGCGTGTGATCGCGCGGCGACGCCCCGCAAATCTCGTGCGCATACATCGCGATGACCTCCCTCCTTCTCGACGCACGCAGCGCGCGGGCTGAGATGACCTCTCCGAGCGTTCCCACGTCTCTCTCTCTCTCTCTCTCTCTCTCTCTTCTCTCTCTCTCTCCTCTCTCTCTCTCTCTCTACTCTCGCTCTCTCTCTTCTCTCTCATCTCTCTCTCTCTCTCTCTCTCGTATCTATCTCTCTGCTTCTCGTCCTCTCTTCTCTCTCTCTCTCTCTCTCTCTCTTCTCTCTCTCTCTCTCTCATCTTCTCTCGTTCTCTCTCCTCTCTCTCTCTCCTCTCTCTTGTCTCTCTCTCGCTCTCTCTCTAGCTCTCTCTCTCTCTCTCCTCTCNCCGTGCGTCCGTCCGTGCGTCCGTGCGTCCGTCCGTCAACCGATTGGCGCAAATCTAAACGGCTCGACGTACGGATTCGAAAGTCGGGACGTGACAACGTTCGAAATACGTTCATACCGGAAGCTGTCCGCGCAACACCGGAAGCTGGCGATTCCTGGTGAACCTATGTACAGCAGGGTTACTCCCGGTGTGTTCCTGACCCCGTGCGCAATAGTTCACGGTTGTGATTCGTATGCAGAGGGAGAGAGGGAGGGGGAGGGAGAGAGAATTTGAGGGACTCTCTCTCTCTCTCTCTGTGTAGATGACATTTTTTGATGACGGGAAGAGGGATGTGGAGGGAAGGGGAAGAGGAGGATGTAGAGGATTTCATCAACGACCCTGTCCAATGTCAGGGAGGAGAAAGGACAGGGGGAAGGAAGAGAGGAGGAGGGATGGAGAAAGGAGGGAGGAGCAATGGGGAGGGAGAAGAAATTAGGAAGGAGGAAGAAGTAAGATGGGGAAAGTGTGGAGGAGAAGGAGGGAGGAGGGTGGAGGGAGGAACGAGGGAGGAGGAGGGAGAAGGGGGCTGAGTTAGAGACGTACCTCGGAATCTCCAAGCTTGCTGAAGTCTGGCTTCAGGTAGTAGATGATGCCATCGATGGCTCCATCTAACGTCAGGCCCCGGATGAGTAGGATGAAGAGCACAACATAGGGGAAGGTCGCCGTGAAGTAAACAACCTGTACGATAAAGTAAACAACATGTAAACAATCGGTGTGACAAAGTAAACAACACGTAAACAATCGGTGTGACGAAGTAAACAACACGTAAACAATCGGTGTGACGAAGTAAACAACACGTAAACAATCTGTGTGGCAAAGTAAACAACACGTAAACAACTTGAGCAAAGAAGTAAACAACACATAAACAAGTCGTGCAAAGTAAACAGCCTATGCAAAGAAGTAAACAACAAAGTAAACAACCGGCGTGAACGAATAAACAACATGTAAACAACCCGAACAAAGTAAACAAGTTGCACAAAGGAGTAAACAACCGGCATACTTCGTGTGAAACAAACAACCTGCACAAAGAAGTAATCAACTAGGGTGAGGTTAACAATATCCTCGCCGTAAACAACATATTTAAGGTAAACAACGACACAAATTCAGCAACCTGAGGGAATGACAATGTAAATGATCGTTCATCATATGAGACGAATAAACAGTCACTGTTCGATTAATTATATACATTCTCGCTAATGTTGATATATCTACTTGATACACCCACTACCACACTATCCACACATCAGACCTGCACACGTTAGCACTTCTACAGAGAAGTATAACACGTGATAAATGTAGAATCGATTGCAATTTCAAGAACAAAAGCTACTGCAGTGCAAACATAAATCTCAATCATTATGGTAAAAGCAATTAAACTGGCAGCCATCTTGGAAAGTACTGTACAGATATGTTTCAAATAAAGCCACTATAAAAGCCTAATAATATATGCCATAACGTCTAATCTGGTCGAACACACCCTTCAAATCAACCCGTCTAAACCAGACCGAACCGGAAAACAAAACAGAAAAAAAACGAGCACAGATAATTTTCTGGCACGCGGCGTTTATCTCGGTCGTGCAACGTCGACGTGGCAAATTCGCGACCAAGCGCGTTCGATGAATTTTTTATCGCGAGAGCGAGATATCGCCGCGCACAAGGCTTTGCACTCAGTATATAGCTTATCTCCCTACAACCCCCTATGTCTGCAACCGTCGCCTGACCGCGAGTCTAAAAGCTGAAGACGTGTGTGCAACCTACATCTGCTGTATCACCCATCCCGGCTCGATGAGGTGAGGGATGAGGGAGGGGGGTGGGGGGGGCAAAATAAATCAATGTGCATTCAACGTAATTACATTAATTAGCATGCCTTCTCATCGAGAAAAAACAATGAGGGTAACACAAAAACCCATTAATTATACCACACCGAGATTACTACATTACAATAATTAATTGCTAATAGCTCATAGTAATAAGCTATAATAAATCCGTACAGTTTAACTATAGCTTAATGATAATGAAATTCTGCATGCATGGCAAATGTCTGACTGGTAATGCTGTAATTTCATCCCACAACCGTAATTTTGTACTGAGAACTACATTATACGGTACAAAACCTGGCAGGATAAAGTTTTGTGTAAAGTGAAATCTTTAATTTTTTAAAGTAAAAGGTTCGTCTGCTCCCGCCCACGATCAACGCCACCTACAGGCTGTTGCGAGAAACGCGCGTCGACGAAACGCCAGGCCGTGGCAAGAAATGCTCGTCGACGAAACGCCACCTACAGGCCGAAGCAAGAAACGCTCGTCGACGAAACGCCACCTACAGGCCGAAGCAAGAAACGCTCGTCGACGAAACGCCACCTACAGGCCGAAGCAAGAAACGCTCATAGACGAAACGCCACCTACAGGCCGAGGCAAGAAACGCTCGTCGACGAAACGCCACCTACAGGCCGAAGCAAGAAACGCCACCTACAGGCCGAAGCAAGAAACGCTCGTCGACGAAACACCACCTACAGGCTGAAGCAAGAAACGCTCGTCGACAAAACGCCACCTACAGGTGGTGGCAAGAAACGCTCGTCGACAAAACGCCACCTACAGGCGGTGGCAAGAAACGCTCGTCGACAAAACGCCACCTACAGGCGATGACGGGAGAGATATGAAGGGTGGGGGTGGGCGGTCAGGAATCTGTTTGACCACCGGCATCCCCCCCCCCCTCCTGGTGGACATCCGTTGCCGACGGTCCGTGAACCTGGTTGCATGAACGTCGTAATCTGAGGTTCTTCCGTTTGCTTATATAGCCGTGTTTTCAAGATACGTTTCTGCGCCGACCGCGCATTTTGAAGCCGACTGTAAATTGTGTTAGTTAGGCTGAGTGATTGGTATCGGTTTGTGACAGTGATCGTGGTGACGGTATGTTTAGTGACAGTGAATCGTGGTGAACCAAGTAAATGTGTAGTGACAGTGATGTGGTGATGTACGTTTGGTGACAGTGATCGTGTGACGGTATGTTTAGTGCCATGAATCGTGGTGACAGTATGTTTAGTGACAGTGAGTTGTGGGATGGTACGTTTTGGTGACACGTGGTGGTGACTCGGTATGTTTAGTGACAGTGACTTGTGGTGATGGTACGTTTGTGACAGTACTTTGATTTTTGACTGTTTGGATGACAGTTACTTGTTGACGTTTGGTGACACTAATGACGTGCATGTTTGCGAATGATCGGTTGCAGTTTTAACCACGACAGCATCTTTTATCATTGAGACAGACGTCTGGAGATATTAACTTTATTAAAATTGATTAATAAAAATTAAATTATTCGACGTTCTTCAACGTCGCGAGCGGCGTGAAAGACGTGAACACACTGAAGCGCGTGAATCATCCTCAGGCAGCTCACACGCACACGCGCCGCGCCTCACACAGTCAGAAGTCGTGTTCTGGTTTGGTCTGTGACACGGGGATCTCG